AAGCAATTCTCACCCCCAGGATGATAATAAAACAAGTACCTAATGCTTAATAGTAAGTACTTGCTGATTTCTTATCCAAGAGCTGGAGGGAAGAAGGAGCTAAAGACTGTCTAGCAGCCTCTCTTTCCTCTAATTGTTTATTTTGGCAAAGGCCACGGTTAACTCACTAGCCATCAGGCGAACAGCATCTCAGACCCACTTGCAAGTCTATTTTAAGCTTCCTGTCTGGCACCACTGAGATTCTACTGGACCATCTCCATGTTGTCACAGCTAGCCTCCAATAACCCAAGAGTTTATATCATCCACCCATAAGAATACCAGCCCAATCTGGCTAAGCACTTGCTCATTTCCAGGTTTATTCTAGGGCAAGAAAATGACTATGTATTAAGGGTCTAATTCAGGTACTGACTTTCATTTTTGGTGTCACAAAAAGCATTGTGTTAACAAAAATAGGTATTTTTGCACAGTGCTTTCTTTGTACTGGAGTATTTGGGAAGCCCCCTCCTCCTTTCTCCTTGCTCGCCTTTACAAAAATCCTGGGTTGTTTGGTGCTGTTTTTCCACACCTTCCAATGTTAAAGTGTCAACAGGTGTTCTGGTGGCTAAAACAGTCTGTGAGGTCAGAGCAGCACAGACCTGCTCTGGCCTTGGCCAGATGGCCATGTGATAAAAGGCGCACTTCTGAAGCATTACTTTGCCAACAAGGGTCCGTCTGGTCAAGGCTATGGTTTTTCCAATGGTCATGTATGGATGTGAGCGCTGGACTGTGAAGAAAGCTGAGCGCTGAAAAATTGATGTTTTTGAACTATGGTGTTGGAGAAGACTCTTCAGAGTCCCTTGGACTGCAAAGAGATCCAACCAGTCCATCCTAAAGGAGATAGGTCCCGGATGTTCATTGGAAGGACTGATGCTGAAGCTGAAACTCCAGTACTTTGGCCACCTCATGTGAAGAGTTGACTCATTGGAAAAGACCCTGATGCTGGAAGGGATTGGGGGCAGGAGGAGAAGGGGACGACAGAGGATGAGATGGCATCACTGACTCTATGGGCATGAGTTTGAGTCAACTCCGGGAGTTGGTGATGGACAGGGAGGCCTGGCATGCTTCGATTTATGGGGTCGCAAAGAGTCGGACATGACTGAGTGACTGAACTGAACTGAACTGAAGCAAGCCTATTCACTGGGTGACTAAAAGGAGCTCCATCTAGAGACAGGAGGAAAGCCAGGCCAGAGGGGAGACAAGGCTGAGATACTAAAGAACCTCCCCCAGTGGTAAGTAGTTGGTTCCTGTGCAGAAGGACTATAACTTTATTTACAACATACATGTCACAGAATCATATAACTTTGCAGCTAGAGAACAAAACTTACACCTCTAAATGACTTTATTGCAAAGCCATTGCTTTGGGGGATCCTTTATTCTGATTCCAAAAATACTTTGGCGTTGCCTTCAAGTCTCAGGACAAATTCTTTTGACTGTATTTAGTGGTGGCAAATATCAATTTTTTGAGAGTAGGTGTTATTTTCAGAAATAAGTTGTTCAAAACTAATATTACCAAGAGGGAATCAATACTGTTTTGGAATAAAAACCAAGGTACTAGTTATAGTAAAATAAGTTGGAGTTTCCTGTGCAGATCCAAAAACAATTTGAAAAGGTAATTTTTAAAGGGCTCTGAATAATGGCAATACTGGTGTGGAATAAGGTATATGCTACCAAGGTGATCTAAAGAGGTCATTGCTATGGCTATATATATATCTTGGAGTCTCATGACTATTTTCACAATAGAAAAAGTTTTATAGACAGCAAACTAGTCTAGTGTAAACTTCATTTCTGAGTCCTCAGGCAGAAACTCTCAAAATAAAAATCCACTTACATTCAACTACCTGGTCTGTAAAGTAGGGGCTAAGAGGCAGTGACATTCCTCATGTAAATAAATCACCTTAACTTGATATCCTAAGGTTGTAAGACTCTCCACTCTATTAATAACCGCTTAGTATTTAGCTGTAGAATATATTCTACTTGAGTGTATTCATCTCCTACCTCCAGTCTTTAATAAAACAAACACACTCACCTGGACTTGTCTAGAATATTAATAATAGCTGATACTTAAACAGCCCTTACTACTTGCTTGTACTTACTCAGCATGATATATATATATATATATATATATATATATATATAGCAACTCACTTAATACAAACCTGTGAGGGTAAAAAGTTTTTAAATGTTACTATTTTTATTCCTATCTTACATATGAAAGAACTGAGCCAGGAAGAAGTTGCCCAAGACCACATAGCAAGAGGCAGAGCTGGGACTGGAATTCAGGTAGTCTAGCTCCAGCTGTGTTCTTACTCACTCTGATATACCACCCTATACTGCCTCTATGAGACTATGGAAAACATACATAAATCAGATACTCAACAGAATAAAAAACCATGAAAAAAAATACTTACCAACTTATGGGAAGCTCATTTGAGAAGTAAAAAAGAGGGGCTGATGTGAGGCAGATAGACCCATGTAAAATGGATGAAGGCCACATAAAAATAGCCACAAGAGTTCCGTGGGCAGCCTGGGGCTGGGCCAAAATATTCTCTATTTCAAGAATAGAGGAGGCAGATGGAAAGATCTAGGAGCTATAAAGAACCAGTTCCTGGCACTGTTTTGTGTCTATAAAATTTTTCCTTTATTACATAAAATCAGATAGTGCAAATTAACAAAAACAAAACTCCACAATACTGTTAATATGACAGCTTTTATAGCCTGTGCACATCACTGGGAATTTTATCGGCTAGTACGCAGATATGCTTAATAAGTCAGTTAACTGTTTTTAACAGTAGGCAGGCTAAGTGCAATGATCTACCTGATACCATCTCCAAAGAAGTTTTCAGAAGCCACTATCAATGACTCGGTTAATAAAGAGGGGATTACATGTGGACAGAAGCAAATGAAGCAGTCCCGGCCATGTCTACCCTTTAACCAAGACTGCCAACGCCACCCCAATCCAGCTTACAGAAGTGGAAACTGAGTCTCACGGAGCGGAAGTGACTTGGATGATGGTCCTGACACAGAAAGTCCAGGGCTTTTCCCATTTTCGCATTGTGCGTTCTACCCTTTTCCTATTCACGGCAAATAAACACTGATTTCAAAGCCCTTCAGAAAACGTGGTGTGCCTACAATGCGGGAGACCCGGGTTCAATCCCTGGGTCGGGAAGATCTCCTGGAGAAGGAAATGGCAGCCCACTCCAGTACTCTTGCCTGGAAGAGTCCATGGATGGAGGAGCCTGGCAGGCTATACAGTCCATGGGGTCGCAAAGGGTCTGACACGACTTAGCGACTTCACTTTCTTTCAGAAAATGTGAGCACACACACCTACTCGATAGTCAAGAATTCTTTCATCACAACCTCCTCTGGCTGCTGTTCAGACCGCCTTTCTCTCCCTGGGCCCTGAGACGTGTCCAGAAAATGACAGAAAAGATGCTCCAAAGTCAACGCTCCGAAAAGAATCCCATGAACCAGGCCTCAGATACACCGGGATTCTCTCATGCCTTGTTATTCCAGGTAGGGCCGTCTCTGGGACTTTAGCTTCCCGTTGGGAAGGGAGCCTCCCCTCGCAGCCTAAACCTACGAAGCCCCAGCCCACCCCCGTAAGGAGGGAAGAAGGCTCGCCGAGGTGCCGGGGCGTCGTGGAAGCCTGTCTGCGGGAAACGGCCGTTCACGAGCCCTGCCCGCTCGGGGACGCTCGTGCGGACCCCGTGCTTCCTCCCCCACGGCCCTTCAGTCAAGCCCGCGGCCGCGCGCAGCCCCGCCTCCACCCGGCTATAGAGGGTGCGGGCGCTGGCGCGGGCGCGGTCACGTGAGGCGGGCCCGCGGAGCCAATGGGCAGCTCACGCGGAGTGGATGGGCGTGTCTGACCCTCGTGACGTCACAAAGCGGGCGGGGAGCGCGCGGCTCTTCCGCCCCCACGCGCTGAGCCGCTGCCCGCTCTGCTGCGCCCCGCCCCCCCGCCACTGCGCACCCAATGGGAAGGCGGGAAGCGCTCGGGCCCGAACTTGAGGGCGGGGCAGGGCGGGGGCCCGGCTCGGCGTGGGGGCGGGGGGGGGGGAGGGGGCGGGGCGGAGTGGGCCGGCCTGGGGCCCGGGGCTGCGCTCCCGGGAGTCGCGGCGGCTCGTGAGGAAGGACCGCCGGGAGGTGCCACCGCCTGCACGTTGAGAAGAAGCTGCTCCTCCCCCTGCCGTGCCCGGTTCGTATTCCCTCACCCCAGCGCCGAGCCGCACCGTCCGGAATTCTCTTCCGCCCGCCCGAAGTTGTGAGGGGGGCGGCCGGCGCGCGTGAGGAGACGAGCCTGGGGGCGCCAGGTGCGCGTTCGAGGCGCGTCGGGGCCGCGGCGGGCGTGACTGCGCCAGGGGGCTGCCCGCGGGGCTCCAGGTCCGGGGCGGGGGGGTGGGCCCTCTGGCCGCTCCCGGGGCGCCGTGAGGGCCGGCGCGAGGGTGGATTCCGGGGCAGGTGCGGCTCAGGTGGCGCGGAATCGCTTTGCCTGAGGATTCCCCGCCTCACACGCACACCCCGGTTCCAGGGTGACACCGCGGGCAGACCTTCGGTTTTCAGGTCTGCGGCCGTCGCGGCGTGGGCGTGTGGAGGATGCCGCGCTCCCGTGAGCTCCGCGCCGGGGCTGGATGGACGGGCCGGTCCCGGGGCGCGCCTCCGCCGGCGTCCTGGCCCCCGCCGCCTCCAGCTGTAGCTCCGCGGCTCCCGAGGGGTGGGTTTGTTGGTTAGGTTTCCGCCCTCCTCCCCACCCCCTGTCTTGCGCCTCCATCCTCTTTTCCCCAACCCCACCCCACCCCACCTCCTAGCCCCATTCACCCGGCTGCAGCGAAAGCTCGCCCCTCCTCCTCTCGCGCCTCCCCTGCCGGCGCCTCCCCTGCCGGCGCCTCCTCTAACGAGCATCTCTGCCTTGCTTTTCAATGGGCCGGTGCCGCTGTCGCTGCTGCTCTCCGCGCGGGTTGTGGATGTTGTCGGCTCCGTGTTGTGATGACAGGAGAATGTGTGTGTGTCCCGGGCCCAGACGAATTGGTAGGTATTCCCTTAACTACCTGGCGTTGGGTACCCAGGAAGGATGATGACTGATTTTGCGTGTGGATGGTCTTAGGTGGGTCTGTGTGGAATGAAGAGGTGAGGTAGGTAGAAAAGGGGGGTGGGTACAAAGGGATCCTGCACCAGGATAGCAGTTGATGCCTTAAGTGAGTGCCATTTTCAGGTAGGGTACAAAGGAAACTGATCAAACAAGTGCTGACTTGGGGCTTCGGAGTCTTACAAAGGCAGCCGGTTTCTTCATTCATGTAGAGATAACAGGAGCTATGAAATGGCTAAGCATTGCCCCAAAATTCTGAAAAATCGCAGAGTCTTTATGCAGGGTGTTTAATGCAATCGGATTACATAAACTGGGGTTCTGACACATTTAATGATTAGTATAGCTTTTTTTTTTTTTTTTTTTTCATTTACACCAAAAGCTTTGCAGAGCTAAAGAGCTCTGGAGTCGGGGCAGTAATTGCATTCTCTAATTAGTTTGTTCTGAGAGTTTATTGATAAAGTGGAATCATTTCCTGGCACAAGCCCTGCAGAGTACATCAGTAAGAATGGATGGGTCTCTTTCCTGTTTCTCCTTACAGCTCATCTTGCCTTATTAGTCACTAGCAAAATCTGCCTAAGACTAAGATGCTGTACCTAAGGTGGCTAAGTCTGGATCATGGGATGGGAATTTTTAAGTGAAATTGTGGCCAGAAATAACTTGAAAATTTGACGGTGCTTCAGTTTACCACAACTGTACCTTGCTGCTGTTCTTACTGCTGCATCAGAACCCTTTAACTTTGTTAATTTAGTAAGTTGTCAACAAGAGTTTTGATTTCATGGAGTTTTGTTGTTGAATCACAGGATATTCAGAAGGATACTCAAGAGTTTTTTGAATGTTCACTTATGGTTTATGAAAGCATTCAAAAGTACATTGACTTCTAGGAGTAACTGGTCTGATGAAGAGAGTATGTCACTTGTACTGGATGCTCCTTAATCACAGAGTAGGTAACTTCCCTAGAAATTTGACTTTTAGAGGCATGTTGGGAGTCTCAGTCCATATGCTAAACCCCTGAGTAATTGAAGGATTGAGTTAATAAAATTGACTCTGCTTTTTTTTTTAATCTTGAGAATTTATGCCTGAAGGGAAAATGTATGTTACTTGAGTGCCTGGTGTTTGAATTTACGTATTCAAAGCATCTGCTGCATGAATCAGTTCTTTTGCCAAAATAGTTCATTTTGCAGTCAATTAGAAAAGCAGGAGGATTGTCAAAACAAAGGAATTTAAGGAAAGTGTGCGTTTCCCGGTCTTGTTATTTCTTCATCAGATGTCATATAGCCCAGTTCTGTTACACATCTGTCTCTCAAACCCTGCCTCCAAACACAAACAGTACTTTGATTGAATCTACATTCCATACAGAAACACAGGTATTTTTTGTCCTCTAAAATTCTTACATGTTAAAGTAAGCTTAAATGCAGACATATATAAACTTACAGAGAAAATTTATTTTCATGAAAGTTGGTATGTTTACATTTTTAATAATAGAAATAATCTTCATACAAAGTATGAAATGAGTCCATGTGCTTTCTGCATACAAACCTAGCAAGAGATATGGTTCATATCTGAAAGCCAGTATCATGTGGCCCAGTGTTTTAGCACATCTCCTGGCTCAGTCATGTACACTTAACCTTTGGATGACTTTCAGGTATTCAGTTTGAAGTGCTGTTATTTAAGTGGTTGTTCTTGATAGATTCCTATTTTTCTGGAACTTCTGTCTTTCATGACTGCCTTTCAGATGATATTTAGTTATTGCTCTTATTTCCAGAATTCCATTCATTACCTTCTCTTGCCTAATCTTGTTTTCAATTTTGTAAACAAATTTCTTCTTAAATAATGTAGTTAAAATAATGGTACATTCTATCACATGCAAAAGGGGTTCTATATACTTGCTTACACAGTGCTTGTACCGAAGCAAATTCAGTGTTTGCTCCCTGCATTCCACTTATCATTTTTCTAACTGTTTTTCAAAAGAGGGTATGTGAAAATAATGTAATAATATAGCTAATACTCTATGATATTTGTAAAATTTTTTCTTAATGTGTTCAACCTTAGGAAGAAATAGTTGATATTAAGGCTCAGGTGATTTTTTATTCCTTATTCCTTTCTGTTTATTGCATTTGTTTCCTTATTTAAGATATTTCTAAAGCCTATTTGTTTATAGGCCAGGTGAATACTTTGAGACAATACCTCAAGAATTCAGGGGAAATATGTGTTACAAGAGGGATTCTTTTCTTGTATACATTACCTGGCTTAATGGTACATGTTTATTACGTTTTCTAGATAAATGCTCATCAAAATATTTTCAGTGTTCCACTTCCAGATGTAAGTGGTACGATTTTCATTTATTCACAAGTATAATGCTCTACCTTTCTAAGCCAAACCTTAGTCCATTAGACTACTGTTTCACTGTTTATTAATTTCCAAGGGCAAATAGATAACCGTTTTTTAAAATGTAAGAGAATAGTTTTCTAGGGGTAAATTCTACTTGGGGTCTGTAATAGATGAAGATCATATTTCTGTAGCTTTCTTTTACGGCTGATAGGCAGAGGAGAATACTAACAAGTAAATTAAGTTCCAGGACTGAGACCATTTATGTTACTAACAAAGTTTTAGAGCTACTAAAATACTTGCTTTTTTTTTTTTAATCACACAAAATACAGTAAAATTAATGAATAAATGAAACCTGCCCGCTTTTCCAGGATTATTTGGTGACTTGGTGGCAGACCTGTGTCCCTAAACTTGCCAAATCGGCACAGTGGTCTGGAGAAGCATTGTTTGCAAGACCATCTCCTGGATACAAGGAGGGCATTTTGGAACTTCTATTTTTACCCATTATGTAAGATTTTTCTTGTACGTGTTAATTATAGTAACATATGTATATATTGTACCAATAATTCATGAATACACACAGGTTGAGGCTGCATCCCAACACGTTTAGTTTATGGTGATACACGTTTATGGTGATACCCAGGTGTATCAAGTGCTAACCATTGAACATGGCTCTAGAAACAGGATCTTCATAAATGGGAAAAGTCCCTGTGCAATATGGGAGACCCATGGCCTTTTTTAAGGATAAAGAGAAGGGTAATTGGCCAGGTCGACTGCCACTGCATAATGTTATATAACCTTCATCTCCTCCGCTCTTCCCAGCCAGATCTGTTGTACATTCTGCCCAGTTTGTGCTGCATAAAGAAATACAAAGAGAAAAGTAAAGCTAGAAGACAGTTTGCTCCTGGCTCCATTAAGTAATCAAGTGCGCTTGGCAGAGATCCTGTAGAGATAGTACATGGTATGTGTGTAAAATATAGTACCTTAGGAGGCACAGGGCACTTGTAAATTTACCTGCTAAATATCTGTTATGAAAGCAAAAATAGATTAAGCAATCTGAATGTAACTTTTTTCTTTGTGCTTACCTGTGAAATTGCTGTCTAGGAATCCCAGTCAGAAGTTCCAGCTTGCCACTGTTCTCTGATGCCATGCCAGCACCAACTCAACTGTTTTTCCCTCTGATTCGTAACTGTGAACTGAGCAGAATCTATGGCACTGTGTGTTACTGCCACCACAAACATCTCTGCTGCTCACCCCCTTATATTCCACAGAGTCGCCCAAGATACACACCCCATCCGGCGTATGCTACCTTTTACAGGCCAAAGGAGAGCTGGTGGCAGTACACCCAAGGAAGGAGATATGCTTCCACGCCGCAGAAGTTTTACCTCACACCTCCCCAAGTCAATAGCATCCTGAAAGCTAATGAGTACAGTTTCAAAGTGCCAGAATTTGATGGCAAAAATGTCAGTTCTGTCCTTGGATTTGACAGCAATCAGCTGCCCGCAAACGCACCCATTGAGGACCGGAGAAGTGCAGCAACCTGCTTGCAGACCAGAGGGATGCTTTTGGGGGTTTTCGATGGCCACGCAGGCTGTGCTTGCTCCCAGGCAGTTAGTGAAAGACTCTTTTATTATATTGCTGTCTCTTTGTTACCCCATGAGACTTTGCTGGAGATCGAAAATGCCGTGGAGAGCGGTCGAGCCCTACTACCTATTCTCCAGTGGCACAAGCACCCCAACGATTACTTCAGTAAGGAGGCATCCAAGTTATATTTCAACAGCTTGAGGACTTACTGGCAAGAGCTTATTGACCTCAACACTGGGGAGTCGGCTGATATTGATGTTAAGGAGGCTTTGATTAATGCTTTCAAAAGGCTTGATAATGACATCTCCTTGGAGGCTCAAGTCGGTGATCCCAATTCTTTCCTCAACTACCTGGTGCTTCGAGTGGCATTTTCTGGGGCCACAGCTTGCGTGGCCCACGTGGATGGCGTTGACCTTCATGTGGCCAACACTGGCGATAGCAGAGCCATGCTGGGGGTGCAGGAAGAGGACGGCTCTTGGTCGGCAGTCACGCTCTCTAATGACCACAATGCTCAGAATGAGAGAGAAGTGGAACGGCTGAAACTGGAGCACCCAAAGAACGAGGCCAAGAGTGTGGTGAAACAGGATCGGCTGCTTGGCTTGCTGATGCCTTTTCGGGCTTTTGGAGATGTCAAGTTCAAATGGAGCATTGACCTTCAGAAGAGAGTGATAGAATCTGGCCCAGACCAGTTGAATGACAATGAGTATACCAAGTTCATCCCTCCTAATTATTACACACCTCCTTATCTCACTGCTGAACCAGAAGTAACTTACCACCGATTAAGGCCACAGGATAAATTTCTGGTACTGGCAACTGATGGGCTGTGGGAGACAATGCACAGGCAGGATGTGGTTAGAATTGTGGGTGAGTACCTAACAGGCATGCATCACCAGCAGCCAATAGCCGTTGGTGGCTATAAGGTGACTCTGGGGCAGATGCATGGCCTTTTAACAGAACGGAGAGCTAAGATGTCATCAGTGTTTGAGGACCAGAATGCAGCAACCCACCTTATTCGCCATGCTGTGGGCAACAATGAGTTTGGGGCTGTTGATCATGAGCGCCTTTCCAAAATGCTTAGTCTTCCCGAAGAGCTTGCTCGGATGTACAGAGATGACATTACAATCATTGTAGTTCAGTTCAATTCTCATGTTGTAGGAGCATATCAAAACCAGGAACAGTGAGTGGGTCTTACCAAGGCGATTCTCAAATAGATTTAAAGGGCAGATAGTTTTTTTTTTTTTTTTAAAGATAATACTATAGTAAATATTTCCAGTGGGTCATTCTCAGCATTTCTCTTATTTGATACTCTAGTCTGCCAGGTAGTCCAAATTCACTTTGTAGCAGAGTGATCCTGAGAGTCTTGTTCGGCTTAGTTTGGACCTCACAGCACCTGCAAGTTGAGGCCTATCAGTTTCTTGACCACAGATGGCTTAGGACATTGGCTGCTTTTATCAGTCTGAGAAAATCAGGATGACCTGGCAAACAGGGTTTTGAGTAGGCCCAAAGCAAGGAACTGCTGGGCGTATTCTTTTGGTAAAATGAAGAAACATTACTGTTCACACCTGCAGACCCCTTTCATCATCAAGATTCCAGTGTTCATGAGAACATATATTTATTGCATGATTTCCTAGATGTATAACCTGTGCATTATTCATGAACTTTATTTTAACCCAAAGTAGTTTTCAAATCCACTACTTTAAGCCATAAAGGACTGAGAACCAGGCAATTTGAATTTGTCAGTGTGTGTGATCATTTGACTTGGAATGCTTCTTAATGAGAAAACAAACACTAACCCTTCTCCCGATTACCTAATGTAGTTGGAACATTTTCTATTTTGCCAAGCAGTTGAAGACAATAAAGGTGTTTTATCTTATTGGTGTTAAATAAAGGGGAAAAAAAGTCTTAGTTTATACTAATGAAAAGCTTTATTTAGTTTGAAATAAAAGATCCAGAATGAAGGGAAGAGACTGATATGTTCAATTATGGTCGTCTGCATCCACCAGCACATCACTCTTATCATGTAAACCCCTGAAGTGTGGCATGCTCTAAGTGTGTGGTGGGTAGACTGCTGCTGAGAAATCATACTTCTAATTAAGTAGTGGTAAGAATTTTTGTCATGTTTGGAATTTTAAGGATGACATATTAAAAAAAATTTACATAATTTGGGGGAGTAAAGTTTAAATATTACCTTCAGGTGTTGAGATGAAGTTTTTTGTTGTTGTTTTTTCCCACTTAGGTGTAGGTCAATTTAAATAATTGGTTTAAAGATTACTAAATGCTTTAAACATATTGTAGCTTATAAATAGAAATGTTAAGGTACATACATGAGAAATTCTTTAACTATTGTGCATGCCTGATGCTTAATGGGACACTTAATAGCATCAAATATTGTTTGCAGCAGTCTCCATAATTATATGCAGACCCTTCCAACGCTGTATCAAAGTAAATGAAAATAAATATATTCAGATTGGCTTTTGGGGAGCTTATTTGATATGCATCAAATGGTGTTTTGTTCTTGTGTTTAATGGTGATTCGTGTACAGCTGTGCATATATTTCATCACTTATTCTAGCATCACTGTTAAAAGAATGGCTATGACTATGTTCAATTTTCACATAAGTTTTAATACAGAACATGATCCGTTTTCCCTTGTGTAATTAGTTGAGGGGTGTTTAGGAGTCCTCGCAGATTTCTGTAGAATACTGAACTAGATATTCAAGGACTCTGGACTGTGGACACCGAAGCAAGGTAGAATTGGCTGCAGAATTTATTCCAATTGAAAATAGACTCTGGAAGATTGCCGCTTACAAGACCATATAATGATTGTTTTCTGAGGCCTTTTTTTTTCCCCCCTTTTTTCCCTCCTTGGGTCACCTTGGAAATTTTCTCCCAGCTGGTATTTTGGAGGGGGAAAAGCTATTATACTATATACTTATTTATAAATGATTTGACAGAGACTTCATTTTTTAATGGAATGTATGTAGAATACAGTAGCAGTTAAAACTCATTTTCAGGCTACTATTTGAATATCTCTTGAACACCTTTACTAAAGAGTTCCATATTATACTTTAATAAAGTCTCATCTCAATATAGTACAGTATATATAAATTTGGTTTCTTTTGGTCATGATCAAGATAGTAATTATTATTACACAAGAAACTTTGTTCTTATTACACAAAAAACTTGGTCTGTGTCTAAAAGCTGGTTGTGTTAAGCCTGTAGTATTAACAGTGTGGAAATGAAAATAATTGGATGTTAGAAATTTGAATGTATTATCATCTCAAGTTTTGATTTTATTGTAATTGGTTGTCACTGTGATGTGATACCTAGAATTAAAGAATACATGTAAACTTTCATTGTATTCAGCCTTTCTTAAGCATTTTTAATTTATACTTTCTAATGTGTAATTTTCTGTATTTAGTCAGTGGCTCATGGTGTTTATAATATGTCCATAGCTAGTTAAATGCAATGGTGTTATGGTACACAGTACTTGGAGGGAAAAAATGTCTTATAAAAGATTTATCTGTGTGAAGAAATGTGAAAAGTTTATGTATTATATAGTGAATAGTCAGAAATGCCCACAGTGAATTAAAGCTTCGTATCTGCTTTGTGAATGAACAACCTGTGTTGTTTTTTAATTAATAGGCTCATTAGATGCTTTCTATGGTGATAGGTTATACTTAACTTTAGGATCCTCTAGATAGATAGTACTTTTTAAAAAACTGGGGTATACTTTACATTCAATAAAATGCACAGATTTTAAGTGTGTAATTTGAGATTTGGTAACCACAACCCCAGTAAAGATACAGGACTTTTGCATTACTCCAGCAGAAAATTCCCTCATGCCCCTTTCTGCTTAATCCTTCCCCATAGAACTGTTGTTCTGACTTCTGTCACCATAAATTAGTGTTACTTGTTCTAGAAATTCATATAAATGAAATCATGTAATATGTACTCTTTCGTATATGACTTTTGTTCATTTTTTTTGAGATTCACTTATGTTGAGTGTATGCAGTCTCCTCCTTACTACCAAGTAGCATTCCATAGTATGAATAGAGCAGTTTATCTACTGCTGATGGGCATCATCAGCCCCTTCTTCTCCCCCTTAAAAGCTAACTTAGGTTATCAATTCCCAGGGATATTATTTGATTGAAGTATAGATTTAACATCAAAAATATGATTGCAAACAAGTTTATGTTCCATACCTTAATGGTAGGACTTTTTAAAAAAATGCCCTTTAAACAAGCAGTGAAAATGAAACTTGGTGAAAAATTTGGGGGAATTGGAGAGCATTCCTTCGCTAATGACTTCTCTGTACCTCTCCCACTGATAACTTTATTGAGTTAAAAGTTCATTAACTGAGTGAGCTAATGACTATCCTATAAAAAATAGACAAATTATACCTTGGTTTTTCCTGTTTGTTTGCTTTTCTTTTTTTCTTTGTTTATCTTTAATTGAAGGATAATTACAATATTGTGTTGGTTTCTGCCATACATCAACATGGATCAGCTATAGATACATATATATATGTCCCCTCCAGTTTTTGATGGTCTTGGTTTATTACTCCCGTCAGCCATAGCTAGGATGGGAAAGGAAGTGGATTAAATGCTGACTGTTAAATTGGGACTAGAATAATGTAACTCACTTGAATACTCAGCTTTTTAAAAAAATTAATTCTTAGACCAAGATTTCCTGCTCACTAGTCAAACACATGCCTGAATATGCGTTATCGTTAGCTTTGTCTTTGGGTGTAGTAAGAGGGTCTAGACAACTGCTATCCTTAGTCTGTTCGTTAACATACCTTAATTCTGACCTTTTTCATAAATAATAAAACAACTACTATTTACTGTAGCTAAGACCTGGACATGCTGGGTAAATGGTACCTAAATAAACTTGTTACAGTATGAAGGTCACTTTTTGTTCCTTTCAGAAGTAACTCTGAAAGCCAAGATTAATCCTGTTAAATCCAGCCAGCCTGGTTCTTATGGCAAAATTTATACCGTGGATTGAATCCTAACAGTATGCAGCATTGTCTTCTAAATAGCTTTCAAATTTTAAGTCTTCAAAGTAAATATATCAAGAATGATGAAATTCACACATTTCATGTTCCATTAATAATCATTATTCAATGCATATACTCTAAGGACCACACAATTTAGGCTCAGAAATGTAGCCAATATTTAGGTTCCTAAAATATATACATGTCTGGTTTTAAATTCTAATAATTTTTTAACTTTATCTTGTTTGTCCATCAGGGTTTTCAATTAAGGTCAGGGCCTGTGGATTTTGTTTGTCTTTCTGAGCCAACACAATATTGAATAAAGAATGTTCTGCATCTACTTTATTTTACATTAGAGATGTATAATCAATTTTAAAAGAAGCCTAAGTGAACTTTAAGAAGTTCTCTTCATTTGTCAGAAGTTAACATCTCAATCTAGATGTAGAGAAGTAATTTATTCCAGTAATTTCAGTTTTGTTTTATAGGTAAAAACCAATGATTTCTAAAACTTGAACTAGTTCCCTGTTGCAAAGAATATTCAAAAGAAAAAATTAAAGTACCAGGGTACAGATAGGCCCATCACAAGTTTAGCCCTCTAGAGGAGAAGGCTTCCTGTGTTCACTGGAAGAGGCCTCAAAAACTCAATTTTCGAATGAGTCAATTGGACCCCCAAAGTCAGCTTATTTCCCCCAGTAAAACTTTGCAAATGGTCCCCATCTAACCCTTGTCCCCTCCCCCAGCTCCTTTTACACAGGTTGGGGGAAGTGTTCCTTTGAGGATCTGCCAAGCACTTTAGCAGCTGTTTGGAAGTACCTGGTATCTAGCTCCAAAATAACTCAGTATTTCATGTTGGTTCACCGTCATACTCTGAGGGGTGTTTAAGACTCTGTCCTTAAGAATCACACCTCTCTGCTTTTCTAAGCTATACCAAGGTCACTGACTCACTTTCTGTCTTCAGCACACACTCAACCAAACTGAACACTCAAGACTACTACAGTGCATGGAGGTTCCTGGAGAAGGAAATGACAACCCACTCTAGTATTCTTGCCTGGAAAATCCCACGGACACAGGAACCTGACCATGTCGCAAAGAGGCGGACACGACTGAAGCGCCTTAGCATGCACGGGTGCAAGGAGGTTAGTCATCACATTCAGCCCTTTAGAAACCTCACACCTGGAGTGTG